CTCGCCCTTACCTTAACTGTACCAGGACGTAGCAACACATTATGTCTGATCAGCAGCAGACCAGGGGCAATGTTGCGAACGTCAAACACGCATTAGGATAACAGACTTACATTTTTATGTTTCCTGGGAAGCTGAGAATGTTTCGGAGTGTTCTATTGTCTGCTGGGGTAATAATATAGTGTAAAGCGCATAGAGCCTGCTTTTGAGCGGGGATATGCGCTATACAAATGCTATCTATTATTATTATTATAAACAAAACCCAAAAAAATGAGATATCGGTATCAATTATATGAAGTTATGTTTTTTTAAATATAAAGTGCCCCCCCCCCCCCCCCAAAAAAAAAAAAAAAAAAAAACCAGCGAGTCTCCAAGCGCTTTTGGTGACCAGAACGCGCATCCTCAATGAGTTAATAAGTCATTAACCTCTTATCGACCCCACTCTTTTAATTCTTCATGCATGATAATAATTGGCCTATCTTCCTCCTTCTGTATCAATATTCACACACTACCGTTGCACTCTTCGACTTCTTGCACGGAATCTGCTCTTATTTCGGTTCTTTGTCAAACAGTTTCTGGCTGTGCCTTAATCAATTATCATATTATACTTGTTTGCATTTCATTGTGATCATGGATAAAATAATATCTAGATCTAGCCACCCTTTCCTCCACGCCCTCCCCTCTCCATCCCCTTTTCAAGGTATCAAAACATTTCTATAACTGCAGTGATGATGTTTCCTCATGAGAATGTTTTCTAGTCGTTTCGACATTGATTAGCTTCATGATATTTCAACCCGTTGAACGTATGAAGGTGTAATAGCTCGACTCAAGAGCAATATCAACTATCTTCAGACGGAACGAAAGTTAAGAAAATCTTACCTCGATTTTTTACTAAGATTTCTTGACGGTTTCCACGGAAACACATTTTTGTGCTTTAAGTGGTAAACCGTTTTCATATTGCATTTTATTTTCTTTCTAAGAGGATTATAGAACGCTAGATGCTATATGATTTTTCTTGATTCTCAATAAAGAAAAATACATGTGCATACTATCCTTGTGGAAGAAATTCTGAGATTGTAACTAGGTGTGCGTTCAATACTATGTTAATAAGATACGTAATGAGGCGTTTCTTTGCCCTTTTCGGTGAGATGATACCAGTTTTGAAAGAGTGTTCACTGTTCACTAAACTGAAAATAATCCAGGACAAAAGTATTATTGTGGGTGGGTGTCGGGTGCTCTGGTGTGGTTTGCTCCTTCGTTCCTATCATACATCTATCGTCCTTATCTCTCCTCCTTCTTTTTTGTGTATGTTACTCTCTTGTAAAACCTCTAATCTTCGACACTTATATGACCTTATTGTTTTACAAGTGCCGTAAAACTTTTTCTAAAACTAAAGACCCTCTGTCACTGTCGTCGTGTTTGTAGGCAGAAGAGGTGATAGCCGAAGCAGACTTTTTGCTATTGAAACTAGAGAGGTGAGCAGAGTAAGTCTGATTCCCTGTAAGGACTTCTCTGTTGACATCCACCCTTATGACCTAACGCAGTTGCGAGCCCGTAAAACCTCTACCAAAACAAACTAAAGAGTATTATTGATCGTGCTAGGTAGTGGCCACATTAATATCTTGCAATTCGTTTCACATTAAAAAAACTTGTGTGAAACACTTCCAAAGAAAGAAGAAAATATCTCATAATAAGCTAGAGAAAAAAAATCCATACGCATTCAAGCGCACACAGTAATCAAACAGCACAATACTAATATATTATGTAATACCCCGCCCCTCA